CACCCAGACTGGAGTGCAGTGGCCACTCCCGGCCACCGCAGCCTCAACCTGCTGGGCTCCAGTGATCCTTCCGCCTCAGTCTTCCAAGTAGCTGGAACTACAGGCGCGCACTACCATGCCTGGCTGATTTTTTGATTTATTGTAGAGATGAGGTCTCGCCAAGTTGCCCAGGCGGGTCTCGAAACCGCGGGTTCAGGCAATTCACTCACTTCAGTCTCCCAAGGCGCAGGATTATAGGCTGAGCCACCGAGCCTGGCTTGTTTTTTATATATATTATTTGTGTGAAAAGTATTATAAACCTATTAAAGTCAGTACTATATAGTCAATTGTATTAGTTCGATACCTAGGTTAACTTTGTTGGATTTATGAACAAATTGGATTTACGAATATGCTCCTGGAATAGAACTCATTCATATGTAGGAGACTTACTGTACATCTAAAGGAAATTAGTTATATATTACCCAGCAAACCTAGGTGTTTCATTATGAGAAGGGTTTCAGGTTATTTCCTCTGTCATATAGAAAACACAAGGCCGCCGGGCTCGGTGTCTCAGCCTGTAATCCTGCGCCTTGGGAGGCTGAGGTGAGTGAATTGCCTGAGCCTGTGGGTTCGAGACCCGCCTGGGCAACTTGACGAGACCTCATCTCTACAATAAATCAAAAATTAGCTGGGCGTGGTAGAGTGCACCTGTAGTTCCAGCTACTTGGAAGGCTGAGGCAGAAGAATCGCCGGAGCCCAGCAGGTCGAGGCTGCGGTGGCCAGAAGTGGCCACTGCATTCCAGTCTGGGTGACAGAGTGAGACTCCAACTCAAAAAATAAAAAAATAAATAAAAAGAAAAAGAAAACACAAGACCTAATGATTTCTCTCTTGTCTATTTCCCTTCTGCCAGACAGTGTATTGTTGGCCTACACATGCCCTTGCCCTTCCATAGTCTCTTCTGTGCCACCAGGCTGGAAGCCTGCAAACTACAGTCCCAGATTCTCTGACCAGTTGGGCTTCAGTCACACTCTGCCAATGGGAGGCACTCATAAGAAGAAGCTGAGAATAAGGTGGAAGCCACTTAGCTCCAGACAGTGCTTCTTGCAGTGGAGTGAAGGGTCTCCTGCTAAGGGACAGTGATGACAGTGGGCTCCTGGTGGGAACTGGTGGCTTGTGCTGAGGAAGCAGAGGGGCCAGGTGGTCAGCAATTCTAACAATGACAGTGACAGGGAAGTGCATCTTCCTGCAGATGGTGATGATGGTAGCCTTTGGAACAGTTGCACTAGAGTGCAGAACAAAGGACTGTGGACTCAGATGAGCACTGACTTTTGCAGACAGTAGGGGTATCCTGTGGCTCCTGATCTCTCCATGCAGAGGATGTGCTCACAGCTCTACCCTGAACCCCTGGCTCCACTATATCGGAGTGCACCTGCCACTTCCAACTGCCACATCCACCTGCCACATCCACATCTCTGTTCCTGGGGGCAGACATAGTCTCTGCACTTAAGGCAGGCCAGACTTACCATGAGAAATAAGAGCCTGCCCTAGGAGCCCTCAGCCAATGACTCCTGCGAGTTGGTGCTGAATACTCCAACTCCCTTGCCCCTCATGTACAGTGACTCTGAGGCAGGTATTTTTATATCTCAGAGTTTCCCATGGGATTAAGATTCCCATGGGATTAAGCTCTAGTCACCCATTGTGATGTGCTTTGTGCGGGCCCCTTCATCACTGCCTACCTTTACCTGTCTCACTTCCCCCACTTCTTGCCAGTGGTCCTGCAGCTCCAAAAGTAACCATATGCACTCAAGTCCTTATCACAGGCCCAGCTCCTGGGGATTGAGAACTGAATGATACCTCTTCCCACCCCCTTTGCACTTCCAGCCTTCTCTGTGCTAATTTCCTCTATTGAATCTCTCTCTCTGCTTGAAATACCTGGATTCCTTTCTGTTTTCATGATCATATCCCAACTGATGCACTTCTCAATCTGACTGTAAACATGAAAAGGGGGACTTGACCGAGCACGGTGTCTCATGCCTATGATTCCAGCACTTTGGGAGGCCAAGGTAAGAGGATTGCCTGAACCCATGGGTTAGAGAGCAGCCCAGGCAACTTGGTGAGACCTCATCTCTACAATAAATTAAAAAATTAGCTGTGCTTGATAGCATGTGCCTATAGTTCTAACCACTTGGAAGGCTGAGGCGGAAGGATCACCTAAGCCCAGCAGATCGAGGCTGCAGTGACTGTAAGCATGCCACTGTACTCCAGTCTGGGCAACAGAATGAGACTCTAACTCAAAAAAAAAAGAAAGAAAGAAAAGGGGGCCTCAGTAACCACACTGTCTCAACACTCAACACAGGGCCCAGCACACAGTAGGTACATAATAAATACTTGTTGACTGGCATGCATATGAAATGAAGTACTCCAACTTTTATTAAATGCTCTCATTTGTTCCTCATGTCCACCTGTTGAGGAAGGCACTGGTATCATCTTCATTTTACAGATGAGGAAACTGAGGCTTAGAAAAATTAAGCTTCTTGCCTGGAAACCTAATATAAGTTTTCATCTCTGCATCGTAATACTACTTATGACCAAACTTTTGGAAAAGACCTGTCAGACACCATAGTGTGATCTGAGCTACATGCTGGACATTAGGGGGAATCTATGACTGGATTCAGGAAGTCAGAGCAGCCTGGAGGGGTCTGCAGGAGGCAGTTAGGAGGTGGAGGCTGAGGAATGCTCTTGCTGAGGCTGGAGCTGCCATGGTCCAGCTGGAGGGGGCTGGCAGAGAGGAGAGGTGACAACGGATGTGTGACATTGCTCCTGGAGTCTTAGTATTTTCTTGAGGGTAGAAACCTAGTTAAAAAATAATTTCCCGTGAGTCAGGTGATGGAGGCTTCTTATTGTGGAGAATAAAGAGCAAACACCATTTTTGTCTATAATTGATCACAGATTGGTTAGGCCTGGAGGCCCGTGAGCTACACACCCAGACCCACTCACCCCCCCATGGCAATGAAAACTCACTGAACCGTCTTCCATCTGGATCTAGTTTCCATCTTCCACAGCCTGCTCACACCCCTGAGTATTATACCCATAATCTGGACTCCTCACACCCAGAGTATATGACTGAACATAACCAAGACCATTTTGCAGATGGGGAATTTGATATTCCGAGATGCCCTCATGAGATGCACTTGATTGGATGGGCTGCTGGTCTCCTCCAGCTTCTCTGGGTGGCACCTGTGATCTAATCCACCCTTTGCTCCCCAAGTGTCCAGGGGAAATTCCTCTTCAGCCTCAAGGAAGTTGGGGACCCCTGAGGACCTGGCTGAGTTGAACAGCAACAGAGTGACAGGTGGGACACGTCCTGCTGAGAGAGGGGCAGAGAGGCGCCCTTCTTCCCTGAGCTGATGGTAGTGGAAATCGGTGGCTGCATTCCACTCACCACAGGAACATGGCCTTGGGGTCCTGATGAGCCCCGCCTGTGCCCCACCCCCCACCATCCCCAACCATCTGACTTTCCTGTGACTCAGGATTGTCCTAGGACTCAGGACCTTCAGCGCTAACACCAGGAACATTTCGAATCAGTCCAGGCAAGTTGGTGACCCTGTGTCTTCAGGCTCCACAACTTCTGTTTCTCGTCTCCAATCCTGGCCCCTCTGTTCTCTGAGCAGACGTGTATTCCCATGCCTTCCTGACTGCCACCAAGCTGTTTCCACGCCTGAACCACCCTTCCTGCTTGCTTTCACCTCCCTGACTCTGCTCTGTCTTCAAGTCCCACCACTCTCTCTCCAAGATGATGGCTCCATTCCTCCCAACAGATGGCTTCTATGTAAACTGTCCTTGAAATTATTCCCAGGTTCCTCCCCGCACTGCAGCCAGCTGGGCCTGCTTTTATGTCCACTGGTCTTGGGACTTCTCAAGGTCTGGGTCCGCACTTGCCTCACCTGTCCCCACAGTGCCAGGCTTGGCCTAAATGGGACAACCTACCACATTCTATGAAAAGGCCCAGGACATGGGGTGGGTCGTCCGGAGGAGAGCCAGCAAGACCAGGGTGGTCTCAGGAAAAGCTGACCCTAAATGATACATTCATGACTCTCATAATCCTCCCAGCAGACCTACGGGGAAAGTATTGTCCTTGTCACCACTTTACAAGGGAAACTAGAATTCAATCAACTTAGTTAGCCTGTCCAAGTTCACAGCTAGTAGGCAGTGATGCTTAAATTTGAATCCAGTTCTAACTCATTCCAATGATGTGCTTTTAACCACAACAATATGTTGGTATGTTTCATAGAAAACCTTTCCAAAACAGGGCAGGGTGTGAGTAAATAAAAAGAAGCGAGAAGAGAGAGAAAAGAGTCAGATAAACATAAGGATGTGGATAATGCCTTATGGTTTAGGTATAATTTGAGCAGGTGTATAGACTGCATTATTTAACACAAAAGATCAGTAACCTTTGTCATTCTGAGAGGGATAGCTTCTTTTTCTTATCTTTTTTTTTTCCTTTTTTAATTTAAGTCTCACTCTGTGGCCCAGGCTGGAGTACAGTGGCACACTCACGGCCACCCTGGCAATCTTTCCGCCTCAGCCTTCCATGTAGTCGGAACTACAGGTGCACACTACCACGTCCAGCTAATTTTTTTATTTATTGTAGAGATGAGGTCTTGCCAAGTTGCCTAGGCTAGTCTCGAACCCGCGGGCTCAGGCAATCCACTCACCTCAGCCTCCCAAAGTGCTGGGATTACAGGCTGAGCCACCGAGCCCAGCCGGGGTAGCTTCTAAAATGTCCCCATCAAACACTGCTCATGTGGGTGGGAAAAGAGGGATGGGAACAAAAATGAGAAGGGGGTTGGTCAGGTCAGGCCACGGCTGAGAAAATTCAGTGTAAGAATTGGCCCAAATGTAAGCAAAGGTGTTTTTAGAAGTTTCACATGTGCTTTGGGAGTTATCCAAATCTTTGCCTCCTCCCTGCTCTCCCGACTACCTACCAGAGTGTCTGAAGGCCCTCCAGCCTGGCCTGGGTTTAAGGCACCGTCTCCAGAAGGCTCCTGGGAAAAGGGCGTATGATGCAAAGTGGACATATCAAGGTCCTGGGTCCACAGCCCTGAGGCTGCACACTCAGAGCAGCAGAACTGGAGGCACAGCTGGGGACTGGGCATCTGAAGCAGAAGTGGACCAGCCACCAGCTAGAAAGCTCAGGGGGCTTCTAGCTACACAATTCCGCTCCAATAGAGGCTTCCGCTTTGCAATTTTCTACCTCCCTGGGATGGACCCAGAGGCAGATGAGGGTAAAAGGATAAGACGAACCTTTTGGCTTCGGTGAGTCAACAGGGGAAGGGGGATTCCCGAGACCAGTTCTCACCCCAAGCTCAACCCAGTGTGAGGTCCCCTGCTTCCTCTTTCACCCCCAGCCCCAGACACCTGAGCTCGGGATCCATGGCATAGCTGATGGCAGCAGGCAGGAAGCCATTGAAGCTGGAGGTCATGGAGGATGCGTAGGTGCCCATAGAGGGGAAGATCAGCCAGTCGCCCACGTCCAGCTCAGGCAACCACACCTCCTCCAAGTAGAATCTGTCAAAGGCATCACACGTGGGGCCATAGAGGGTGCAGGGGAAGAGGGGCAGCTCCGAGCAGAACTCCTGCAGTAACACAGAAGAGGGGGTCAGAAAATAGAGGGTTGACCTATCCCATCCCCTCTCCCAGAAGCCATTGGAAGACCCTGAAGGGTGGTCCCAGGGGTGCATGGGTGCATACTGATTGGGACTTATCCCTCCATGGCTCCTGCCCAGCCTGGCTGGGTCTGGTCTGCCTACATACAAGGCTTCAGGTTCCTCCTGAGGAATTGCTGGTTTCAATTATTGGCATAAGGCAGAGGTTGAAAACTCAACCACCAGCCAGGCACAGTGGCTCGTGGCTGTAATTTCAGCACTTTGGGAGGTGGAGGCAAGAGGATTGCCTGAGGCCAGAGGTTCGAGACCAGCCTGAGCCACTTGGTGAGACCTCGTCTCAACAATAAGTCAAAAAAATTAGTCAGGCGGGGTGGCACGTGCCTGTAGTTCCAGCTATTTGGAAGGCTGAGGTGGAAGGATCACCTGAGCCCATCAGGTTGAGGCTGTGATGACCGTGAGTGTGCCACTGCACTCCAGTCTGGGTGACAGAGTGGACTCTGACTCAAAAAATAAAACTCAACTACTGAAGGAGTCAGGAGGCAGGTAACATAAATGAGTACACTGGGCCAGATAAGACTTCTGGCAAACTGGAATATCAATGTCTGTCCAAAGAGAGGCCACTGTCCAGTCCCAGCAGATCCCAGGAGAGCCACCACATGGCAGACGTGCCATACACACTGGTCGAATTACTTGTTGCTATGTTGGATTACGGGTCCTCTGTCATCAGATCTCTCAAATTCCTGAGAGGAACTGAGAAAATCCAGGCATTTCTGAGATACATCTAAATTTTTGTAATATTGGCAACCAAAATGTAAAACTATTGTGGGAGCCAGGCAAGCCCAGGGTCCCCTATTTGCAACCTCGGCTCTGAGGGTGTCTCCTGCCCAGCATTCCAGTTTGATGGGAAGAGAGGCAAATAACACACAAAGACACACACCCAGAAACACTACACAGACATACACACACATGTGTGCCAACACACGTTGTACACACAAGCAAATCCATGTACACACCAAGGCCAGAAGAGGCAACCAAAATATTTACAAAGCAGTGTGGCTCAGGCATCAGCTCATCCAGAGACACCACTGCTTTCAAGCCAGAGGAAGGTCAGGTATTGGGGCTTGTTGCATGATCATGGGAGGGACCGAGAGGCTCTTGGGGTGCCTGGAGAGGTTCTTGGGGGCCTCAGAGAATGGAATGGCTCTTTAACAACCAGTGAGAAGACATCAATATTTAGGGAAACAGGCCTCACTGGGTATTAGTGGTGATAATCCTTTTGCCTGAGAAGGCCCGCATGTCCAGCTGCTGCAAGTGCTCTGACCTGCAAGCACATGTGTGTGTGTCTCTGCATGTACTATGAGCAGGCAAGATCCTGCCTCTGGGGTCCAGTATGCCCACCCCTCCCCATGGGAGGAGGCACAAGGCACCTTGAGAGAGGAGACTGGACTCTTAGCTGGAGTGACCTTCTTACCTTTACCACGATGGGCATCTTGCGAACAGGCTCTCGAAGGAAGAGGCGGAAGGAGCCATAGTGGCCATCGCTGAGATAATACTTCAGCTTCCTGCCACCTCCTGGGAGCAGGGAGAGGACAGGACTGTGAAGTGCTCGATCACTACTCTGTCCCCCAGCTCCAGGGTTAAAGCCCAACTTTCCGCCCATCCTCTCCCCCAGGACCTGGGCATACCTGGACAGGGGCCTCTCTACCCAGCATTGTCCTGGCCCACTCACCAGGTTCCAGCACTGCCTTCTTGGCAATGATGTTGACAGCAGCAGTGCAGACAGACTGCACATAGAAGCGGCCAGGCTCCGCGATGACCTCAATCCCACTCTCCTCGGGGAAGTCCTGGGCCAGGGCAGCATTGATCACTCTCGCCAACTGGGGGGATGTAGGGACAGTGGGAAGAGATTAAGACTCAACTCTCGCCAACTGGGGGGATGTAGGGACAGTGGGAAGAGATTAAGACTCAACCATGTGTTGATGTGCCAGGACCTGTGCCAGGTCCTTATCTGCATCCGCTACTTTCTTCTCCGTGGTAGCCCTGCAGGGCAAGTGTTAGAATTAGCCCTTTGTACCAAAAAGGAAATAAGCCAAGGGACAGGAGGCCATTTGTGTGAGGTTACATGGTGGGTGCAGAGGCTGAAAGAGCAGGGCCACCAGACCCCCTGAGAAGTCTGAATAGCTTCCCGGGAAGCTATTTAGCCCAACACACAGTAAGAAGACAGGGTGTCTCCTGAACCAGGGATCATCGACTCCTGTCACTTCATTGGCAATGTTAACAACAATTCTACAGGAACACACAGGCACGTGGCAGGGCACAGTGGTTCACGCCTATAATCTCAGCACTTTGGAGGCCCAGGTGAGAGAATTGCCTGAGCCTAGGGGTTCAAGACCAGCCTGGGCAACTTGGTAAGAGCTCTCTCCAATAAATCAAGAAAAATTAGCTGGGTGTGGTGGTGCACACCTGTAGTTCCAGCTACTTGGAAGGCTGAAGCAGAAGGATCACCTGAGCCCAGCAGGTGAAGGCTGTGGAGGCCATGAGTGTGCCACTGAACTCCAGCCTGGATGACAGAGTGAGACTCCAACTCAAAAAAAAGAAAAGAAAAGAAAAGAAAACAGGCACGCACATCCATGCACACAGAAAACAATTCCATGGGAAAACACACACATGCACATCCATACACACAGACAACAGTGCCACAGGGAAACACATGCATGCATGTCCACACACAGACAACAGTTCCACAGGAAAACACACGCACATCCACACATGGACAATAGCTCCACAGGAACACACACACACACACACACACACACACACACACGGACAACAGTTCCACAGGAATACACACACATCCACACACACAGACACATAGACACACAGAGAGGCACAGGGACACAGGTTCTCTACAGCTGCAGCTGACACCCTATCATTTCCCCTCAGCCCACCTGGACTCTCTTGCCCTGTTCAAGTCTTTCTAGCCTACAGCACCCGCCTCCCTCTGCTTCTCTCCCTGAGGGCTTTCTCCAACATCCCTAGAAACCAGCTGGCATGGGGCAATTAACACCTCCAGAGCGCAGCCCTCCACAAAGGGGACAGGACTGGGTTCCCCCCTCCTTCCCCACACCTCCCCACCCCCCGCCCCCATCCTCCAGGAACGTGTTCTACATAGTCCTCAGCATGGATGCACTCTCTTTTGGCTTTTCTCCTTCTATCTCATTTTCCTGACTTTCTCATTGGTACTCCCAGGGATCACCTCCAAAAAAACTGCCAGTATCAAGCATTGTCTCAGACTCTGCTTCTGGGGGAACCAAACCCAGATGTGCATGTGCACAACACATGTAGCCCCCTGTGCACACAGGCATAGCACACCCAGAGACATACCTGAACACACAGAGACACGTGCATGCACACCGACTCCCACACTCACACACACACTCCCTGAACACAGGAACCACCCACAGGGCCTTCATGGGCTCACCTCCTCAAACTTGGGCCCAGAGCCCTCTGCTCCAGGGAAGCCCCCTCCGATGTCCAGGAGGCTCATGTCATGCCCTGCCCTGCGGCCCATCTCAAACACACGCTGGCAGTCAGCGATGGCCTGCGTGTAGGTCTGGGGAGTCTGGCAGTCAGAGCCTACGTGGAAACTGGCACAGCCATGACAAGGGACATGGGGAGAGACATGTAGAGAAGCACATGAGGATACGTGTTCAGAGCCACAGAGCCACACAGCCTGTGGGTAGATGCATACAGAGACAGAGAGGCACAGCCGTACATAAGGCAGGAGCCATGGGGGCAGATGCAGAAACAACTGGAAACAAGCAATGACCCCACACAACTGTGTGCTCTCAGACACACAGACTCAGGCCCACCAGCAAACACACGGACCCACCAGGGGCACTCACCTCGAGGGCTGTGTTCACACATACACACACCCACATCCTCATAGCGTTGGAGCCCATGATCCCAGCACTGCGGCGCGGACTCCCCCTCCCCTCTAGGTATTTCAGGGAGGGCCATTTTGACAGATCCTCTCCTGCCATTTTGACAGATAGGGTCCCATAGGCCCAGAGAGGGGCTGCAGCTTGCCAAGAGCTCCAGCAAGGGCAGGAACCCAAGGCTCCTGCCCTGAGCTCCAGAGTTCTCAGCATCACTCACCTGGCTCCAACCACAGCCAATCCCAGGTCTTTGGCAAATGTGAGCAGGTGCCCACACACCTCCAGCCTGGCCCCAAACTTGGCGCTCAGGGGGAAGGAGCTCTGGCTGTCCTGGGTCCACAGCCGGAGGACCAGCCTGGGGGAGGGGTACAGAGGACAGGGAGTGGGAAGAGGCTTAGCCAGAGATGCCAACAGGCCCAGACCTTCTTACACCACCCGCTCTCCAGGCCCAGCTAACCCTCAGATCTGAAAGGGTTTCCAACACCACGAAATCCATGTGGTCATCAGACCAGCCCAACACACTGTGTATCCATCTACCTCTCCTAGGTACAGCCAGAGAAGTGCGTGCAGAAAACAGACTACTATGGTGAACTCCTACTACGTGCCAGGCAACTTACCACCATTTTGGAAAGGAAGGAACCAAAATGTTAAAGGGACTTGCCCTGTGCACACATCAGGTAAGTGAACAGGCCAGAATTGAACCTGGGCTATCTCAATCCAAAGGCAGCATAATTTCCAGAAACCACCAGCTGCCAGGCCTTCCTAAACCAGGCTGGGCCTTGCAGGTCCTACCCTCTCTCATCTGAGGCCAGCATTTGTCAGGTGTGTGCTGCGCTGGGTAATTCACTCCTTACTGCTGACCTCACCCCATCTGACTGCACCCCTGCGGGTCTCACCTGGCCCTGGGGTGGTGCTGGGCCACCTTGGTCAGCTCCTCCTCACTGTCAAAGGTCAGGAGCTGCACCCCGTGATGGGCAGCAAACCGGAGGTGAGATGAGGGCTTGCAGGGGTTGGCGTAGATGATGCGTGAGGGGGCCACGCCCAGGCCCAGAACCTGCTCCAGCTCCACCTGGTGTGGCCAAGAGCCAGACTTGGGTCCCGCCCCTGCTTCTTCACTTTCAGGAGCCCTGGATGGGGCCGATGGGGTGCCCATTACTGAGTCCCTACAATGTGCCAGGCACTCCAGGTGCTGCTGTTTACAAGTCAGGACCAACGTCTCCCGCCTCCCCCCCAAAAAAAATTCTGTCCTGTGGAGAAGAAATCTTGGTGGCTGCTGGAAGTCAGCTGAGGAATTTAACCCTGCTTAGCTGAGGGCTCCTCAGAGAGGGAGGGAGGGTTGGTCCAAAGACAGTGAGTTATCTCAGTTGATTGTTCATAGTCACAGATGGAGCTCCTTGTTCTGCTCTCCCCACTTCTCACTACTGCCCTTGACTAGTCTTAGAAAAGAGGGAGAGAGAGAAGGAGAGAGAGGGAGAGAGGAAAGGTAGGAGGGAGGCCCAGTAAAATATTGCCATCCCGAGAGATACTCACCATTCCCACCCTGGGCTTCTGCTCCAACCTCCCTCAACACCACTGAGTCCCCTTCTGCTATGAACCCTTCAGAGCATTTCACTCCCAGGGTAAGGAAAGAGCACAGGCTTCAGATCATGCACCTTGGTCTCTTACTATATGTCGGCCTGAGGCAAATGACCCACCCAGGCTGTTTCCTCCTCCCTGAAATGGGAGGAAACATTGAGAACTGGTGGGAGGATTGAGGAGAATGTGTGGATGTCCTTAGGGCATCCTCAGTGCTCAATGAGACAGGTGAGCTTATTCATGACCCACAGCTAAATGGGGTTTAACTCCCTCGGGACTGATCTGGCCTGTCCCAGTCACGGGCTCACCTGGCAGGCATGGGCTCACCTGGCTGGCACAGTCGAAGCCGGTGCCCAGGGCAGCCAGGACGCGCAGGATCCAGGGGCTGCTGTTGCACTTTACCGCATAGAAGGGTGAGACCCGTGGCAGGGCCTGGCAGAAGGCCCGATGGCGGCTGGCCAGCATGCCCAGGTCAGCCACCATGAAGGGATCTTGGTGGTCCTGCAGGGCAGAGAGATAGGGAGGAAAGACTGGGGGGTAGGTAATCTCATTTAATCCTCACAGCCTTAGGAAGTCAAAGCTATTGTTATCCCCATTTTAGAGATGGGGAAGCAAAGGTTCAGGAAGGTAAATTCACTGGCTCAAGGTCCTACCACAAGTGCATGACAAAGACAGGCTCTGGACCCAGGTCTCCTAAGTCTGGGAAGCCTGCCCTTAACACTGCTCTATACTGCCTTGTGACTGTGCACTGTCCTTGGTAGGAGGAAGGAGTCTGCTGGACCTGGGCAGCTCAAACTACTTGTTCTACAATCGTTCAACAGTTATCCAGCATCTCTTCTGAGCCAGGCTCTAGACTGCGTGCTGGGGAAACAGCAATGGACAGAATAGACCCCAAACTCTTGTCCTTGTGGGACTTCCAGCCCACAGAACCAGAGAGAAACAGGCATGAGCCCCTGGTCAGTGAGCATGTGCTGGTGAAGCCACTATTGTATGCCAGACACTGTGCTGGGGAACAAGCGGAGATACAATATAAATGGCTCCCATTTCACAGATGCAGCCACTGAGGTGCAGAGGGCTGGAGTGCCTCCCCCAAGTTCTGACTGCTAGAAAGCAGCACAGTTGAGACTCAATCCCAAAAATGAATGACTTCAGGTGACACCTGTAGGTCGGGATATTCTGAGATATTATCTATTTTTCCCTCTAATTTTCTCTTTTCTCTTCCTCATTGATGTCAGTAGCTATTTCTCATTTATGTCCTTGGTGGAGAGATGTGGCCAGGCAGAAGGAAGTTGCCAGTGTTTTTGGCTTTTTTTTTTTTGAGTTGGAGTCTCACTCCGTCGCCCAGACTGGAGTGCAGTGGCCGCTCCCGGTCACCGCAGCCTTGACCTGCTGGGCTCCGGCGATCCTTCCGCCTCAGCCTTCCAAGTAGCCGGAATTACAGGCATGCGCTACCACGCCCGGTTGATTTTTTGATTTATTGTAGAGATGAGGTCTCGCTGCCCAGGCAGGTCTCGAACCTGCAGGCTCAGGTAATCCACTCACCTCAACCTCCCAAAGGCACGGGATTACAGGCTGAGCCACCGAGCCCGGCTTGTTCCTGGCTTTCTTAGGGAAATTCAGTTCTTGAGGTAAGAGGATGCCAGGGTGCAAAGAAGATGTAGAAACATGAAAGAAGGACCTTCCTCAGACCAGGAAGTGGGTCTCTTGGCTGACAGAGAGGGGGTGGTGGGGACAGTGAGAGAGCTGAGACTCTGTCGAAAGGGAGCCTGAGGGAAGGTGGGGTGGGGTCCTGGGCAGCCTGTGGGGAGAGATAGTCCCTGGGCAAGTCTGGAGCAGGCCTTGTGTCCAGACAAATCCCCTGGGATCCTGGGGAGGTCCAAGAGTGCACCTCTAGCACATTCTCCGGTGATGTTGATCAGGGATCCTGCTTCGAGTAGCAAGGGTCAGAGTCCACACAGCTAGGACCATGTGTGAAGGCAGCACAGCACTAAAATCCAGGGAGCCAGGGAAAACAAGGGGGCAAGAGGGTAGTCATGTAGGCCAACCAGGGCTGGAGGACCAGCAGCCTGGGTCCACAAATCCCAAGTAGCAGAAGATGGCAAGGCAGGAAGAACAAAAGTCAAGTTTTTCCACTGGTCTCAGCAGAGCAGAGCCTTGAACCAAGGTTTAGTGTAATTGACTAATGAAACCATAAGACAGAAAGCCTCATCTCTTACTCACCAGAGGATCTGAGACCCACCCTTCCACTCCCCTCTCCCTTCCCTCCATACCGAATTAGAAAGCTCCTGGATCTTCTTCAGGACCACCTGCCAGGCAGATTCCCCCGGGCCCAAGGTGATAAGCTCCTTTTGCCATGGGCTTCCAGGGGGTCCCAGACTCTCCCTCAGGTTCCTGAGGGGGGCGCTCAACCCAGAAACTCCAGCCGAGCCCTCCACAGGGCACCGTCCTGGCATCCTGGAAAGAGCTTGCTCTGAGGACCGGGCCTCCCCCTCCTCCCAACTCCCCACTGGCCCTGGGAGCCAGAGCTAGTAAGCCCTTGCCCTATCCTCCCACCCCTTGGATCTACATACAGTCCCAGTTCAGGAAGCTCTAGGCCCTCCCTGGGATCTACAAAAAGCTCCCTGGAGCCCTCCCGAGTGTTCCATCTGTAGGATGATGGGCATGGGCTCCAACTAGCCTACATCAGAGACCTGGTGTGAGTTTCAGGCAAGATGCAGGGCCACACGCACAGGATGGTGTGGTTGTGACTCTCATCCAGGCTCCCTCACACACATGTTCCCATTCATGGGGAGAAAACTGAGGCTCAGCAAGGATAAGTGTAGAGTCCAAGATCCGTTAGATCATAGGACATCGGAACTAGGTCCTGAGAGATGATGGAGTTCGACAGTCACATTTTACCAACAGGGACAAGAGGACCAGAGAGAGAAAGGGAGCTGCCCAAGGTCACCAAGCGGTCAGTGGCAGAGCTGAGGCTGCAACCAGGGCTGCCTAGAGCAACCTCTGGAGCCGCTGCTGGCCACAGACCCCTTAGATGGGGTGAGGTCAGCTGGCAGCCAGAGGCTCCTGTTATAACAGTTGAGAGGGTGCCCTGGTCCCACTCCACACCCAGACTCACCCTGTGTCCATGGTGGCCTGTTCCTTCAGCTACAGACCAGGGGAGCTGAATCTGTGATGCCCCTGGTTTCAGGTAAATTCCTGTGGGAAGAGCCGAAGCCAGCCCAGACCTCAGGGGGCAGGAAGTACCTTCCCTCCAGACCTTGGCCACCCATGCCTGCTCAGCCTAAACCTCCCAAGCTGGAAAAACATACCTTCCTAGGTCTTCCTGCAGGATGGGTACACAGGGGCCATTGGATTCCCGCTGTAAGTGAATGTCAGCAATGATGAGAAGGGAACCTGGAAACCTCCATCCACCCTCCCACTCTGCAGATGGGAAAACTGGGGACCCAGAGACTCCAGATCACTTGGCAAACCAGGAGTGGAAATGGGAGTGGAACCAAGGCCTTGGGGCAGGAGCTGCTATCTCCTGGGGCTGTATCTCTTGCCCTCTGCTGCAGATTTAAGTATCTCTGAATATAAGCAGGAATTTGTCTGCGTCACGCCAGGTCCAGTCACATCCCCACCCTCTTCCCACCCTCTCTCTCCACGTGGGCTGCTGAGGTTCACTCTAACACCTTCTGGCCTTCCCAGGCTTAAGCCAACACCTTGAGCAGCCCCACCTCTGGGACATCAGCTGTCACCTCCTACAGGCTGACACCGCACCTTTGTGCTGTGACCCAGAGCGTCCTCTGCCTGTTCCACTGAAAGAAGTTCAGCAGGGAGCTTTTTACTTCTCTGGCTCTTGTTTGGGGCAGGGATTGGAAAGGAGGGCAGAGATGGCAGGACCCAAGTCTTCCTATGCCTGGGACTGCAGAGATAAGGATCTTTACACAAAAGAGTTAAACCCATGGGCTCGAAAGCGCTCACGAACTGTGACTGTGGGCAAGTTAGTGAACTGCGCTGAACCTCAGTTTTTTCTTCTGAAAAAGGGGGCCTCAAGGAGCAGTGAGGAGGATTAAGATGTATTAAGGTAACAGACACAAAGTACTTCACTCTCACTCTAGGTATTTGTGTCTGTGTTCCTGTCTGTATGGATTTTCCCTGCCAGATTGTGACGGCTTAAAGACAGGGAACACATCTTCTGCATTTCTGGGTCCCCCTGCCTAGGATAAGACTTGGCACAGAATTCGCTTTGGTAAATATCTGTAAACACATGGTCACAGCTAACACAGGTGAGATTTGGAATTTAGATTAAGGCCTGTCTGAATTCACATCCTGCAGGATCCAGAACAGAAACATTGATGGAGACAGGACTGAGGGCCCAGAAACAGAGCTGAGAGCAAGACTGGAACACGTCACCCATCAGCCCATCACCCAGGAAGGAAAGGGGGCAGATAAGTGGTGCTGGGCTGATGGGTGAGCAGTTTGGAAAGTAAAGTCTAGTTGAAACATCACTTCTCACTAAAACAAATGTAAAATGTTTATAGAGAGAGAGAGAGAGAGAAAGATACACATATATTTGAACACGCCATTAATAATATTTTTTTTAAAAAAGGCCAGGTGCAGTGGCTTATACCTATGATCCCAGCACTTTAGGAGGCCAAGGCAGGAAGATCTCTTGAGCCCAGGAGTTTAAGATCAGCCTGGGCAACATAGCAAGACCCCGTCTCTAAAAAAGAAAAAAAAATTAACAGGGCATGGGTGTGCCTCTGTAGACCCAGCTACTTGGGGAACTGAGGTGGGAGGATCACTTTAACCTGGGAGTTTAAGGTTATGTGCACTTCAGCCTAGGCAACATAACAAGACCCTGTCTCTAGAAAAATAAAAGTAAAATAAAAAATAAGAAGAAATTAAAATCTTTAAAAATAGAATTGATTGGCTAGTCTCAGTGGCTCAGCCTGTAATCCCAGCACTTTAGAAGACTGAGACAATGGGTTGCCTGAGCCCACAGGCTCGAGACTAGCCTGGGCAACTTGGCAAGACCTCATCTCTACAATAAATAAAAAATTAGCCCAGTATGGTAGCATGCGCCTGTAGTTCTGGCTACTTGGAAGGCTGAAGTGGAAGGATCGCTGGAGCCCAGCAGATCGACGGTGGGGTGGCCGTGAGCGTGCCACTGCACTCCAGCCTGGGCAATATAGTGAGACTCCAGTTAAAAAAAACCCCGGATTTGATTATGTAACATACCTTTAGGGCGATGACTTTCTAAACTTAGATGTGACAAAGGGGACCACACTCTGCGGGATCAACAGGTTTAATGGCATCTGATTTGTAAATTATGTACATATATAGCTCAAAATTCAGTTCTTCCTGGGAGTTAGGAGACCTGAAGTTGTGTTAACCCGGGGATTAACTTCAGTATGACCTGAACAAATCATTCAGGTTTCGAATGTCTCAACTATAAAGTTCTAAGATGCAGTATAATGCAGTGATTATATTCTTCTGAATCTCAGCTTCCAATCAAATTATTTTACCTTTCCTCATCTTCCATTTCCTCATCTTAAAAATGGAAATAATATTAGTATCTTCAACTGACATTGTTTTGAGTATTGAATGAGATAATACAAGTACAAATCTCAGTTTAAATCCTGTTTATTTAAATCTCTGAGATATGCAGACTGTTTGTTCCTGTCCTCATCTGCCTGATACACACATTAGCCCAAGTTCTCTTCCAATGTCTCTGACAGTTCTGCCCCTCCTAGAGGGCTGCAACCAGCCTGTACAGAGATCTAGTGGTTACATAACTTTTCAACCCATCCTTCCTGAATGTATTCTCGTTTCTTCTGGAACATTGCTATGAACAAAGCAACAAGTTTGATCCTGTGAAGTAAGCATGAAGTTAAAATTCAAGGGTGACTGGTCAAAAATGGGAGTTAGACTCTTTAGACCCTGAGGTCATGGAATAAAGCCAAAGAAACTTCAGATTTTCTCTCACTGTGCTGTTACATGTCTTCTTTATGTAAAATATCTTCCTTCCAGTGAAGTTCCTAGCCTCCTGCCAATATTTTTTTCCCTTAAATAGATGAAAATGATCTGTTTTTTAGCAGAATCAGAAGGGTAAATCAAGCCCAGTATGTCTATGATTCCCATGTTGGCTTAATGAATATTTATGGAACCCCATAAATTATGCATTGTGTAACTTCACTATTTCTTATAATTCTCATAACAATCCCATGAAGCATAATCATCATCTCCATTTTACAGATGAGGCGTACAAATGTTTTAAAAAGGAATTCCCAGAATTCAAACGCAGGTCTGCCTGATTCCAGAGCCCAGGCTTTCCCCTGAGTGTTTAACTCCTTGAATAGCATTCTCAACAACATTGAGAAGTAAATGTTGTGATGCCTGCTTACAGATGGAAACCAAAGGTCAGAGAGGGGCAAGATCCCACCCATATCAAATTACTTCCAGAACTTACAGAAGTCATCTCAAAAGGTGACCTCACATCAGGACCTGATGTAGGCAAAGCCAAATGGCTAATCTTGAGAAAACAAATGGCGTCTGTTCCTGCCAGTCTCCCCTTCCAATATACACCCAATCCCAGAAGACTCCACCCCATTCACTACATTCCCCTTTGTCTTCACCTTTTTTATCCTTATTTTTTTGAGTTAGAGTCTCACTCTGTCACCCAGGCTGGAGTGTAGTGGCATGCTCACTGCCACCCCAGCGTCGACCTGCTGGGCTCTGGCGATCCTTCCACCTCAGCCTTCCAAGTAGCCGGA